GTCCTAGGAGTAATCAAGTACCAGCACTATGACTCTGGGGATATACAGGCGGAAAACCCCTAGAGTAACAGGGCAGGACAGGAGGAACTAAAAACTCACTCAAATGATTAGAGAGAAAATCAACAGGACTAAAAGCCCTAGTGACTTGAACCCAGGGAATGAATAATTAATAACCAGAAAGACAGAAATTATATAATTGTCTTAGAGCAGAGTCACTGCCACTCATAACAGCTTCCCCATTAACTTACAAAAGGTCTAACAAACAGAACACCTACTTCTTACCTGTTGCCTTGGCTCGTCAAGTTCCTTCTCCAGCTCCTCCAGCATAGTCACGGCTTCCTCTCCATTCTCTGGCCGATGCTCTCGCACCCAGGCCTGCAACTCCTCGGGCAGAATGGCCAGGAACTGCTCCAGCACCAGCAACTCCAGGATCTGCTCCTTGGAGTGCACCTCCGGCCGCAGCCACTGACAACACAGCTCCCAGAGCCGGCTCAGAGCCTCCCGGGGGCCAGTGGAGTCGGAGTAACCAAACTGCCTGAAGCGCTGACGCAATACCTCCTGGCTCCGGGGGTTTCCCTGAAGGCCACAGTCCTGCCCCCAAACATAATTCTCTTCTTCAACCTTCACAATTAGAAGTCCTTCTTGTTCTTCCGGAGCATGGTAGGCCAGGGCTGTGGCCTCTCCTGACATTCTGGGCAGAGACAGTCTGAAAAGGCTGCCCAGCTGAGGCAGGGAGGAGATGAAGGTTTGTGTCTGAGAGATTCCCTCTAAATTCCAGCTCTTCAGGGAGCCCCTGAGGTGAACAATGCTCATGTTACACAGCGGAAACATGTGCTTAGACTATAAATACAGGTTTTTGAAGGCCAGTTTGTAGAGAAAGAAAATTGACTAAAAGGGAGCTTCCATATAAATGACACAGGTATAAATCATGCAGGATTTTTTCAGGATGTAAAACAAAAAATTTCAATGTAGCCAAAATCAATTCGTCCTTTAATAATAATGTTAGCGACAATATCAGGGATAATAAATAGTGCTCATAGATCATGGCAAGCAGGAAAACACTGTAGTACATTATTATGTCTCAGAATAATAACTAGCATTTTATTGAGCACTAGCCGGACATTATATAAATTTGATGTAATTTTTCTAACAACTCAATAAGGACAATCATAAAATTATGCCCATTTTCCAAAGGAGGTTTCTGAGAATCATAAGATGACCAACGACACACAGCCAGTGAGCAGCAGAACTGGGCTCTGCAACCAAGCTTTTTCTATTACGCCATGGGACCTCCCAGAAGAAGGGAAATCATGCTTAATAAACATCTATTACGGGCCAGGCACTTCACAAATACTATTTTATTGGGGTTTGACAATAACGCTGTGAGGTAAGTATTATCATATCCATTTTACAGATGAGGAAACTGAGGTTCTTGAAAGCTAAGTAATTTGCCCAAGGCCCCAAAATGGTAAATAGCAAAGTCAAGACATGAACTCAGGATTGCCCAACTCTAAAGCCCTTGCTCTTTTGATTATAGAATGCATTAATGCCCAGGACAATCTTAGTTGATACTATAAATTAGGAATGATGGTGAAAATGTTAAGAAGGGGTGACGGAGAATGGCCAGGGTGAATGTACAAATAAGGAGAAATTATTCTTTACTTCAAGTCACAAGGTCCTGAAGGAGCACAAAGAAAAGAGAAATGGATTCCTTCACCCATTCTTTCAACAAATACTTGAGCCATTCGAAGTATCACTGGACAGAAGAAAAAAATAAATAAAAACAACTACTTGAGCATTTACTATGTGCTAGGCAGAAGTCTTAGGATTAAAAGGTCTGTCCCCAAGGACTCTTAGTGTAGAGTCAGAAAGCAATAGGTAAATAGACACGATGTGATAAATCCAAGGATGGAGGTAAGTAGACAAGGTAGCACAAGGGAAAGACGACTGACCAAGACCAGGGAGACAGGGGCAGGAAGAGCTGCTTGGAGGAGACATATGAGCAAGCCAGGTGAAGATGTAGAGGAAGGTCACTTGGGCAAAGAGAACAGAGCGTATGAGACGATGTGGCCCACTGGGGAAACTGAAGGTAGTCTGGGAAGACCAGACTAGTGGTTTTTCACCTCTGACTATGGCTCAGGATCAGCCATGGAGCATCTCCATGGGTGGGGCTTCAATAAGTGTCACAAGTGCTTGTGATGTGCAGCCTGGTGAAGAACCCTGTGCCAGCCTGGGGCACAGTTAACAAACAGAGAGAGAGGGAGGCACCTACAGAGGAACAGCCAGGCCAGCAAGGGCTTGAGAGGTTGTGCTGCAGACTTTGCATTTGATCCTCACGGCCACGGGGATGGCTGGAAGGTCTGTCAGTCCACCGGGAGAATGGTGTGGAGAAAAGATGGAAAGGGGTTTTTTACAACCATTCCAGTGAGAGACAATGAGGGCCTGAGCCATGGGAACCAAAAGATATAAAGATGGGAGACTGGGGACATGCTCAATAAGGGTTTGGAAGAGAGAGGAGTCAAGAAGCTGGCCCTGGTGACTGGAGGATGGTGATGTCATTTGCTGAGCTATTCATTGAGAAAGTTAGGTCTAAGATGCCCACAAAGAGCATTTTCTAAACTGTGCTTGGCCAGATACTACCAGATGCTTCACACACACCTAAACACAGAGAAACCTGGGGACATTTTTCTTCTTAACTTTTTAGTATAAGAAAAATACTAAATACGTTTCTTTAGTTCTTATAATGTGACAATCATTTAAGAAATTTCGTGACCGCATTGTCAGATCTGTGCATGAATGTGTATGTAGCACTTACCAAGAGCTGCATCACATTGATGTGTGTTCTTCACTTAGTGACCATTAGTCTATGTTATGTCACTTGCCTTTTAATTTCAATGTTTGTAATATTATTCTATTTTATTAAAAAATATTATGCTTTACCACCTTGCCCTTGATGGGTATGTCGCTGAGGAACATTTTTAACCATAAAGCATCATCTCTGCTCCTTTCCCATCTCTGTCACAGGCCCACCCTCCTCTACATCAGTCCATGAGGTTAGCCCTAAATTCTCCCCTATTTTCAGTCTCTACTTTCCTCCTGAGCAAGCTCATCCTCACCTTGGGTTATCATCCATCTAGTCTAGGCATCCCATCTGAGCTCCAGACCTATTTAACCATGGTTCCTCACTCCTACCATAACTCCCCTTGAATTTTTCTAAAGGACCTCAAATTTAGCACATCCATAATCAACTCATGGTTCCTCACACCCTAAAACTGCTCCTCCTCCAATGGTCCCTTCTCAAAAAAGTAAGAACGTCTACCTGGCTGCACAGCCAAAAAGATGGAAGCATCCCTAAATGGTCTTTTTTTTTTTTTAACCTCCCTCCTTTATCTAATGCAAAGTCAGTCCTATTGATTTTATTTCCTATCTCCAGAATCTATCCTTTCCCACCTCTGCCACCATCTTCATCCCAGCAACTATCCTGTCACACTGCACAATAATTCACCGACTGGCTTCCCCACATTCACTTGGTCCTTCTCAGTTTGTCATCTAGTTTGTAATCAGAGTGATCTTTTCAAATTGCAAATCTGATCATGTTCCTCTGACAAGTTTTTAAAAAGCAAAAACAAAAACTCTGTAACAGAGGTGAGGCACTCTTTGATTGTACTCATCTCATCTGCCTGGACTACGCCCCAGCCCGAGTCAGAATCTCCTGAGTGGGGTCCCAGTGGCCATATTTCTAAAACATTCTGCAAGTGATTCTGGTGGCAGCCAGGGTTAAGAACCCTGGGCCAGTCAAGGACTCATGAGAGACAAGGTTAAAGAGAATTGTATTCCTTTCTCTCAGAGCACTTTTCTCACTTTGTCAGTATATATACTTTAGTAGGACTAGTTGGTTAATACCTGTCTTATCCATGACTAGATTGCAAGCTACATCAACATTTTGTTCACTATTGTATCTCCAGCACTCAACCCAACACATGGCACGTAGTATGTTCTATATATAAAAGAATGCATGTCCTTATAGTCAAGGGAGGAAAATTTCAAAGAGGCAATTGTCAATATTGCCAAATGCCTAATAAGGACTGAAAAATGTCCCCACAGCACTTTACATACCGCAGAGAGGTGATCTAGCTCACCTAGAGAACCAGCTTCAGAGTTAGGTAACCCAATTTAAAATTATGGTGCAGCCTCTTACTAGCTGTATGACATTAGTCACCAACTGAATCTTTCTGAGATACAATTTCCTCTCCTAAAAATGGAGTTAATAATGTAACATTGCAGTATTAAAGTAATTAGAAATAACATAAGGCATCTGACTAGAGCCTGGTGTATTAAATGCCTTTTTATACTGATGCTTTGACATCTGGGGCCTTAATGACACTGGAGGGGCTGCCCCTCCCAGGGCTAGTCAATTCCTAGAGATAGTAAACAATTCAGCTGTGAGTGTGCCTTTCACACATACCCCACCACTTCCTCTACCAGGCTCTCACACTCACGGCCACCATTCCCCCTGCCCTAACCACCTTAGGGACAGGTACTGAACAACTAGGGACAACAAATATGCCCCAGAGCCCACTGAAATTATTCAAACTGCCAATGCTAAGCCTGTTTACCCTGCCTTGTCCTTTCCCATGGAAACCACAGTAAAGGTCCCTACCTACTTTCACTTACTCCCTCTGCCTCCTGACCAACCCCGATGCTTCCCTGTGTGGCCCAGCATGGCCAGGTATGTCCCCTTGACATGGAAAGTGAGTAACAAACTATCTTTTCAATGGCAATCATCTCCTGATCTATTGTCCTCACCATGCCTGAATAATAATAAAATCTATATTTTCAAACCCTTGGCTCAGAGTAGATAAGGGGCAAGGAAAGGGCAAATTCCACATCACAAGGGATGAGTTATAGAATAGGCTTTATTGGGGAAACTTACCAGCCAGAGATCAGTAAAGAAAGCACAGATCCCTGATTTTCCCATCATCCCACAGAAGGGAAGTCTGTGGAAAGGTGCTCTTGTGTTTCAGGAGAGAGCTCCCTCTACCTTCTCATGGTGCAAATGTGAGCAACCAGCTTTTGGGGATATTAGTGATGTGTATAAGCTGACTACTTAGGACCAGAAGTCTAGATTTGGGTGTCAGTTGTATAGCGTTGTCTAGGGAACCAGCTACCCAGCATATGGAGAGGAGGGATGGGAAGGGCTAAGGAAATGGGAAGCACTGAGTTTGGGTATAGACCTCCCTCTGGGAAAATGTGAGTCCCTGATCCTAGCTAGCTCTTAGTCCAAGCAACTCAGAGGGAACCTCCAGGGCACTTTTGGACAATCCTGTTTGCTGCAGCACCACTGTTATTATAATGTACCTGTATTATAATGTAACAGGTATTATAATGTATCTGTTTGCTTAACCGTAACAGAAAACACTAACTGAACCTTTATTACAGAGTCAAGCACTGTCTACCTGTTTTAAATATCTTAACTCATTTTATCTTCACAGCACTCTATGGTGTAGTTCAGTTGCTTAACTGAAGAGAAACAGAGAAGTTATGTAATTTATTCCAGGTCATATGGCTTGTAATTGATGTCACTGGACAGTTTTGAAGCCAAATGATCTGACTCCAAGAATCCTTAGTCTTAGATGCCGACTCTCTGCTGAAATACCTTCTCACGTTTGCACTTCCCACCAATCAAAGCGCCCTTTAGAAAAGGGTCTGCATTTTTCACACATTTATTTAATAATATTTACTGAGTGTCTGTTTGTGTACAGGCATTGTGCTAGGTGCTGAGCAAACAGTTAT